CCAACTCTCTCTTTTTCATTGACCCCTCATGCTGTCAGCCTGTGCCAGGCTGCTTGGGCTGACATAACAAAGTGCCACAGTGGCTCACACAACAGAAATTCACTGCCTCACGGCTCTGGAGGCTGGAAGTCCCAGATCAAGGCGTCAGCAAGGTCAAGGTTGGTCTCATTTTGAGGCCTCTCTCCTTGGCTGCAGGTGGCCACCTCCCCCTGGGGTCCTCACATGATCTTCCCTCTGTACCTGCCTGTGTCCTAATCTCCTCTTCTTATAAGGACATGACTCATATTGGATGCCGTCCTGCCCTAATGACCTCATTGTAAATTAGTAACCTCTTCAAAGATCCTATCTCCAAATACAGTCCCGTTCGAGACACGGGGGGTTAGGACTGCAACGTGAATTTACGGGACACAATTTAGCCCATAACACAGCTTGTTTACATCAGACTTACAGCTTAAAAAAAGGCAAGAAAGTGATTATGAGAACTTAGAATGAAATAACTCCGGCTCCTTTAGGCAGTTTAGTGGGGATATAGTGAATAAATAGAAAATCATAGAAAGGATATTGAGAAAAGCAAGTTTGGGGTACCATCGATAAGCAGGATTAATTATGCTGCGCAAAGGACAGTCCACAGGTAACTCCATCTGAAGTGTGTCCCAGACTACACCAAGATCATATCACAGTTTTTTAAATAATACCCTGGCCACCTAAGAGCACCATGCTTTCTTTGAAAAACATGAAATGTTAAATACTTTGGAACCTGTAAACAATAATCCTAAACCAGAAAAAATACTTAATTTTCATATTTAAAAAAAAAAGAGATGAGATGTGTTCACATTGCTAGCTCGTGATCTACACTAGCACTGCTCAGTTTGAACACACCTCATTGTCCCCAAACCCCTCAACTGGAACCCCTGCTGTTCCCGTGATGTAAGCACTCATCTCCAATGGCAGGCTGGAGTTGAGAGGCCATGCTGCCCAGTGGTGGAAACACTGGCTTTTGAGTCAGACTTACCTGGGTTCAAAACTCACTTATGCCAGCTGTGTGATCCCCAGTAAGCCACTTAGTCTTTTCTAAGTTTCTGTCACCTCTTCTGAAATGACATCACCCATACCTCACAAAGAGGGCTAGTGCCAGGACTAAGTACAATGTATGTAAAAACCTGTAGGAAGCACCCCATAAATGGGATCCATATAGTTGTCCTCTCAAGATTCTGCAATGTGATAAAACATTTACCTTTATAGGAGCTTCTAAGCTTCTCTTTCTCTCCAGGCTCCTAGTTATTCCATACCTCCCCAGATTTCTTTTTGGTAAACTATTTCAATTTTTGTGCTCTGTTACATCTGAGGTATTTATACATCAGAACTTTTGCCAGTAATCACGCAATATGAGCATATATGATTTTCACAGTTAAGTCAACATCTGAAAAAAACAATATAACTAAACATAATTAAGTAATGTTTTCTTATGCTGCTTATTTCAAGTATATTGAATTTTATATTGAATCCCAGAGTTGTTTCCTGAAGTAGCTTACATCTCTGCTTTCTCTTTTCTTGTTTGATACATGTATACTTACGCATAAAATTTCTCAAGATAAATGCATCAAAATCATTTAACTGAGACTATCAAAGATAGGGCTATTTTTATAGTTTGCCTGAACTATTTTTATAGTTTGCAGGTAAGAAAAATGGTACTCTGATATCCTCTTTTTCTGAAGGAAGAATTTATGAGAGAGAAGTTGATCTCCAAGCTGGTTTTGACACATACAGAAGGTTATTCTATCTGGACTTATAAGAGTTTCTAGAATTAACAAGTACATGTCTACACTGGCAATTGGAATGAGATATATGGGCTCCATTAGGATGTCACTGCTTATATAATCTCAATTCTTGATAAGTGAGGACCTTTCAGAATTTTTATTAGTTTTTCTGAGCTGTCTGGTTGAACTCTGGAGGGTTAAGCAGAACCCCAATGTTCTTAAAAAAAAGTTTACTTCAGAAGAAATATATCTTTCTTAGATTCTTAAATATCTTAGATTCATCTCTCCCTTTGATACAGACATAGAACAAGCTCTTAAAAGAAATATTTTATTTTCTTCTTGAATTTCTTCACCTGTACAGCTTAATGCATAAGCCCTAGCTTGCTTTAGTAACTTCTGAGATTTCAGCCTAGTAATTTTTTCTTTACTGAATTGCGTCTGAGAAAGAAAAATTTAAATTGATTATTATCTTATCCAGTTCCTTGATGGTACTTTACCACACCCAAAGCCAATAAAACATTGATGGAATGGTAAAACTGAAGACTATCTCTTGATCTAGTAACTCAAAACTGTGAAAAGCTTTGTCAAACAATATGCAGAAGGACAACTCAATAAGTTAGAGGGGGTAGACTGACATGTCAATATCCATCACATTTTATTAAGCAAATTAAAAATAGATTTAATCTTTAATATGTATCCCTAAAGAATAAAATGTCCTGGATTCAGTTGTTGATTATGTGCTCAGCAGATTAGCTAATTATTTTAGACAGATGCTTGATGCATATTAATTTGGGTTCCATGTCAATTATAACTCTGTTCAGTTCACAGTCTAGCCTCCTCCTAGGATTGTTGAGTAACAAGAAGGCTGTCCACTTGAAATGTAACTGCAAGAAATTCTGAAGGAGGACAGAATGGCATACTGGAAAGAGCCCAGAGCTCTGGGGTGGGAGCCTGGATTCTAAATCTCAGCCAAGCCTCATGGTCTTGGGTGAGTCATCTCCTTCCCTTCCCATGATCATGCTGCGTGTCGGCCCCATGGGGATGTCATGTGAATCCAGGGAGCAAAAGCGCTCCCATAAAAGACCAGAAGGGGAAACAGCTCCTTAAGCACATTTCCAAAGCAACACCTTCCTAACAATCATTTGAAGGTAAAGTGCCAATTGATGGTCAAAAACTCTTTAGGGAATTAAAAAAACTGACAGTCCTGAGTGTTGACAAAGATGTAGAGCAACCGGACTTCTCATATATTGTGGAGGGGAATATAAACCACCAGAACCACTTTGGCGATCAATTTGGTAGTTTCTTTAAAAGTTAAACGTGCATTTATACATGCTCCAACTCTACTCCTAGGTATTTACATAAAAGAAATGAAAACACACCACACACAGACGTGTACATAAATGTGTATAACTTCCTCATTTTAATAGCCTCAAAATGGAAATAGCACAAATATCCATCAACAGATGAGTGATAAACAATCTGTAACATAGAGATGAATATGAATAAAGATACATACACTATAGATATATACTATATACACTATGCAGCAATAAAAAGGAACAAACACTGATAAATGTAACAAACTAGATGAATCTCAAAAACAGTATCCAGGAAAAGAACCAAATTAAAAAATATATATACATGTTGTATGATTCCATTTGGAGAATCATGCCAAATGACTCCATTGTGACAAAAAGCAGACCATTGGTTGTTTGAGGCCAAGCACTGAGGGGAAATTGATTGCAAAGGGGCTTAGGGGCCTTTGTGAAATGATGGGAAGATTCTCTATCTTGATTCTGGTAGTGCTTTCACAGATGTGTACATTTGATAAAATGTATCAAACTGTATGCTTGAAATAGGTATATTTCATTAAATGTAAATTATCTCTCAATAATGTTGCATGAAAAAATGAACACACAAACACACACATTGGAAAATGGTAAGAAAAGTGAACTTGGAACATCCCAGGCTGGCACTCTGAAAAGGTGGTCAAAGATCGGTGCCTGTTGTGCAGTTGGCTCTCCCACCAAAGTTAAGGGCCTGAGCTGATTCTACTCCCACGCTGACTTCCTTTTGTAAAATCTTTGCTACACGTATGTGAATGTGATGATGGCTATGAAAGCACTTTGTAAATGGAGAAGTGCATATCCAGTCCAAAAAGATGGCCACAGCAGAGTCCAGTAGAGCACCTGTTCAGGTCCCAGGCTGCCATGTGGTAGTTTTCCAGGGTGTGCAACCCGGGGGTGGAGAGAGATCCCTCCAGGCCATCCAAGTGCACCTGGACCTGAGACCATTTCCCTTCCCTCGCTCCTTCACTCCTCAGCTGAGCTCCTCTCACTGGTCGTCAGGAATAAATGGACATAAAGACAGCCTTTCCTAAGCCACACTCATTTAAAAATTTTTAATTTTTACCTGTGGCATTGTGACTGAGAGCTCAAGCCCCAGGGTCAGACTTCATGTGTCCAGAACTAGCTCCTCCGCACCTGCTGGATGAACATACAAAACCCTTTCATCTCTCTGTGCCTCCACTTCCTTGTTTGCAAAAGAGGGATCAAAATAATGCCCACTTCATAGGCTGACATGAGAATGAAGTGAGAGAGGACATCAAAGTCCTTAACACAGTGTGGCACAGAGTAAGAATGTGACACCTGAGAGCTGCAGATATTTTTCTCCTGACTGCCCCAACATCTCCCTCAGTTTTCTATAGATCCCAGAGAGCATTTTTTCCCAACGCCACAGCAACCCACCCTGACTCTTTGATCTGGGAGAGCAGAAAGTTCCAATACACACTCAAGTCTAAATTGGAACTTTCCTAAAAATACCAGTTCCACAGGACAAAATGGTTGGGTGCAGCCACACCTTTACGACTGAGTTTTGCATCCTGAGTTGATTGTGAGGGCTGTATTTTATCTCTACATATTTGAGAAGCCTGTCAAATGTGCTGTAATTGTATGAACAGGCAGCAAGAGTCCGGCCACATGCCATGGTCGTGAAATGTAGAAAATAGGGTGCTTCAGCAAGCCAGTAAGGGAATTAATAATAAATTTAGAATTACTAATAAAATGCCTGTCAAGGGAGCTGCAATACATTACATACAAAAAAATCCTACCTGTTGTGTAACTTCTTCCTGAGAAGTATATATTCTTGGGAATAAAATGATTCAACCCCAGTTGAAACTTCTGTTCCCTGGCATTTACCCCTAATTTTTCATTCATTTGTGTATTTTTTACATCTCCCCTGTAGCTCCACCAGCCCTCCCAGACGTCAGTGGGTCAAGCAGCCTCCCAAAGCAACCTTCTGCACTTGGCCCACAGCCAAGCATCCATGCCTCAGAGCCCCATCCGGCAGGCTTCCTCTTCCTCCTCCTCATCCTCCTCTTCTTCGGCTTTGAGCGTGGGCCAGTTAGTCAGCAGTAAGTATCCTCTCTGGCTCGGTAAAATCGTGGTGGCCTTCGTGTTGCCTGCTCACAATGCCTTCCCTTCTCTCTTTCCCTTTCTCTGTCTCTCCCTCCCTCCCCCTTCTTCTCTCCCTCCATCCCTCCCTCATTCTCTCATTCTTTAAACTGAAAGAGGAATTTCCTGGCCCTCCTAGGCCAGTAGTGGGATGAGGTCCAAGCCAAGCCAGGCAGCTTCTTAGGGAAGCAGACCCCCTCAATAAGTGCACGGAGGGGCTGGTTCCCATCTCAACTGCTTTCTATGTGACGAGTCAGTCCGGCCACTTCAGAAGGGAGAACCCAATCAGCTTGCAGGGCATGAGCCACAGAGCTCAGACCTGAAATAACCAGCAACAGGCACACAGCCACCAGGCCAAGCTGCCTTTCTGTGTGTTTGAAGTCCCCTGCCATTCTATTTGTAGGTGTCAGAGGAAATAAAAGATAGCGTGCCTGTGGGTGGGTGGGCATGTGTGCCTAATGAGCTGCCTCCAGTGGCACTGGGGGTCAAGCTGCCTGGGCTGGGACTGGCTGGGAAATCTCTGAACAGCCATTCATAAAATAAAATAAGCCTGCAAGTGTGCTTCCCTGAGCAGGCCAAATGCACATGCACGCACACACACACACACACATATATAATTTTTGAAATAGTATTTGGCCCTATGTGAAGACAGTATACTTTGCTTGCCCTATAGAAGCCTGTTAAGATGAATGGGGCAGTGGTCTGACTTAATGTTAGTTATTCACCTTTAGGGAAGCTTTTACTCATACATAAAATTACAGAATGTGCACATAGGTTATAATTCTCCAGGGATCCAAAATCCAGCAGTTATAGTTTAAAGGGCTCAAGCACTGCCTGGGCATCTATGCCCCAAAACAAGGATACATGTGAATGTCTGTGTTTGGCTAAGTGTCATGAATGACCTGTTACAACAGGAATAGTAGGGATCCTCACATATCATGAGGCTAGTCTGGTAATGTGAAGTAAAATGGAGAGTTGCCATGTCCTCCCACAAGCAACCCCCAAAAAAGAAAAAATATGTATGTGCATATAGATACATACACATACATAAATGTGTGCATATATACGTGTATATTCAATTATATGGATAATTCAGGCAAGAAGGATGCTTGTGGAATGTAGACAAGAAGGGGAGATGATGGAAAGATATTAAAATGCCCAAGTTCTTTACCGAACTACCCTGGATGTTCTTGATCTCAAAGATGGGTCAACACCAAGCAGTTTCAGAGAATCTTTGGAGTTTGCCATCTACCTGTTATTTTAGGTTGTTTAGATGTGCAAACATCCTCATGTGGGCCAGAAACTCTAGTCTCACTTGAATAAAATCATAGATGAAATGAATTTGAGTATAGCCAGATTTTTCCCCTGTAAAGAAATTCTCCATAGGGCTGTCTTGGGAAAAGACCCAACTTTGTTTCAATTCAATATTCTGCATAAGTTTCTGCTAAATACTCTGTTTCAAAATAGCAGCAAGGTCATAAATCTAGAATTGGCTGTTAATCTTTGGTCCTGAAAGAAAAGGAACCAAGATTAAACATCTTAGAAGAAATATGTTAAATATTAAATAAAAGTAAAAACTACCCCACAAATATAGTATTTTTTTTTCATTTTCAAAATACATGTTTTTTGAACTTTTCATTGACGTATCATTGATATACAGTCTTATATTGGTTTCAAATATATAGCACAGTGGTTCAACAGTTACCCATGTCATTAAATCCTCACCCCAACTAGTGCAGTTACTATCTGACAACATAGGAAGATGTTACAAAATCATTAGCTGAATGTAGTATTTACACGAGGTAAACACTCAATACATGGTGGTGGGATAGAGAGGTAAGTAGATGAATTAAAGGATGGACAGACAGATGGATGGCCCTGAGTTCTCCCTAGTCACTTGCCTAAAGCTGGGCAGGGAAGGATTAGCCTTTTTCAGAATCAGTAGCAAGGCTACTAATGGCCCAGTTGGAATTTCAATTGCACAGTGGCCAATGGGACATCTAAGTTCTAGGTACATAACGAGTGAAGCATATTACATATCCTTGATATGAAATATACAGAACTGGGGGAGAGAGACTCCTTTATCACATGCACTTGAGGCAGGAAACTCCAAACCAAAGCCAGAGCCTGACTGAGGAGACTTCGCTGGCAGATCTGAGAGCCTCTAGCAGTACCACAGGGGTCGGACTTTAACCCATGGATGCACTTACACTTCCAGATTTTGAGTATGTTTAGTTAACTCCTGTTTCAAAACCTAACTATAAAATGAATAATATAGAGAGCATGTTGTGCTGCTGATTACCCCCAACAAACCTCTGTTTCAGCCTTCCTTGGGAAAGTAGCATTTTCAAAGCACTTTCAATAGTTTACTTATTTTATACAAGGCAATAAAAATCATCATTTTCAGATATTGAGGCTGGTATCAAATAGAATGAAAAATACAACCCATCTTGACCATCTTACGTCAGACGAACCAGATTCAGTCTTAGCTGAGAGACTGTGACACTCTATGTACTGAGTCTAATGGGTGACAGAGCCAGGATAATAATGCAAGTAGTCTGATTCAACAGGTCATACACATTCCACACACCACAGTTGCCTTAAAAGACAAGATGTTTACCCATAAATTTTGCCCAGTGAAATCCAGTTGACAAAATATGTAGAATTACCTAAATATTCTTCAAATAATTTTTTAAAAGCCCGGACCCATGTCTTACAATTAAAGCACAGGCTTTTCTCTGAGCCAATATGACCCAAAAATATATATATATATATATAGAGAGAGAGAGAGAGAGAGAGAGACATCTTGCATATTTTGAAATTTACATTCAAGCATGAAATATGCATTTAAAATAATTTTTGTCTGAGATTAAACATCACCGAATATGCAGATAGACTGATGTTGGGAGACCCAACTCCATATTTCAGATATAGCTGTTATGTCAGGTTAAATTACAGAGGGTGGAGAAGGTTGTTTTAGTAAGAGCCTCTCAAGTTAAAAATAAAAACACATGGAGCACCATACATACATGAGGCACAGTGATAGAAATTAAGAAAGCAAAAATAAGCAAGATGTGGGCCCTGCCCTGAGGAGGCCATGAACTGGTAACAAAGAAACAGTTATAATAAAGAAAACAAATGCTACAACCAACACATGGATGGGGACTATGACAATATAGTAAATAATTATCTCAGTTTTAGAGGTTGAGACAGAATGGAAGGACTTGATATAGTAAATAATCTGTGAATTGGGTAAATAAGGGAAAGTTGGGAGAGTCAAACAAATGATGGACCAATGTGCTGAAGTAGCTTCTGAGTTACACAGTACTGCCCTAAAATAAGTAGATTTGGGATTTTTTAAAATACTTTGCTGGGTTTGGTTTGGTTTAGTTTTTCAGTACACACCTGGTTTTTTTAAACCCCTGGCCTGTAAACTTGATTCTTAGACAGCAGAGGACTAAGCTAATAGCAGAAAAAACAAAACTTTAAAGTGAATACACAGGTGCATGATGATCACTTACAGCACAGAGAAGCCCCAATTCACATGATCACATTTCACACCATGTTCTACAACCCGACAAAAGTCGCCATATTGCAAGTAAAGCTGTTCTCCTAAGTTGCATTACACATTCCCAAATGGTTTCTTATTTCTCAGAAGTATTTGGTAAATATGCCCATTATTTGCTGTGAGAATAGCATTAAAAAGCAGATGGATATTTATATAAAACAATTCATACCTGGCAGGTTCTTTCAAGATGTACATTTGTTAGATAACAATCCCACAAACAGGTCATAGGAGGAGGATGTTGATGGATGGTGAATCGTTCAACCCCGTTAGCAACCTTTCCCACTGATGCCCTGGTGAACAGTTGGAAGGAGCTAGTTTTTAAAATGTTAGCAAAATGAAACATCTGTCCTGGTCCATCCTGAGCACTCAGTTCATTTTGAGCCAGTGACTGCACAACCAGATGCTTCAGAACAGGTCACTTTTGCACAATTTGCCTCTGGCTCCCACAGAAATCTTCTACTTTTCAGCCAACACATTCCAGATTTGATTTGGAAAACGTCATGTTACCCTTATGAATCACTGCCCAGTTTCAATGCCAGTTTATTCTAAATCTCCAGGCCAGTTAATCCCTGTATAGGTTGATCTTCCAGCTTCTCTAATGAGGGTCAGATTCAGGGTGGTCCCTGGTAGGCGTTGCTATTGCTTTCTGATCCTGTATTTAATATGTTGACCCTGTCTTAGTCTGGAACAAACTTCTATGAGAGGTTCTACTTTCTCCTCGGTGCAGAGAAACTCCAGACTACTTTGCCCTACAGCTGGTTAAAGGTGCTGGGTCCACCTTGCAGGGGATCTGAGCAATCCCTCTAAGTTCCCCATCAAGGTGGTCTCAGGGTCATCCTTAAAATTAACTCAACCTCCCCAGAGCCAGGAGAATAGATGTCAGAAAGCCAGACTGACCTGTCCCAGGCTGGAATGTCAACCTCCGAGCTGGATTGAGAGTTAAAGTGACATCCCAGGAAAGCTTCCATTTACCACATTCACCTCCAGTTTCCCCTCCTCAAACAGAAAAGCATATACCCCCAAGGAAGGGAAACTATTCCAACAGTGGGGAATACCTCAAGAGTTTAAGACAGAACTTTGGGATCAAAAAACAACTAGCATTATTTTTCTTTTAACTCAAAGCACCTTACAGACCGCATCTAATGAATTCTCCCACCCTGAATGTGTGAGGACAAGTCCCATATCCACATAAGGGTAAAGTTGTTTGTCTACAGGCAGACCTCTTCTCTGGATGGAGAGACTTTTGTTGTCTTGGGACCCCTGGAGCAAAATCAAAATAGTACATTTCGCCATCTGATTTTACAAATAAGAATAATAATACAAAGAAAGCCAAGCAGCTCATTTCCAGCAATCAACAAATTACACAAAGAGATACTCATTTTTTCTTCCCTGGGCCTTGTCCAATAGACCATCTCCTTGTTTAGATGTCACAAGAATTTCCATCTTACCAGCTCTATAAGTAGAACCAGGAAAAAAGACAAGAGTGGGCAACGCATGAGAGGACGAAGGAATTCAGCTTCCTGGTGTA